ATACAGTAAATTCCAAATACAACAATAGTAAATTCTTATATTATGTATTATAAATTACTTCTGTGTTTTCAATATTTTAGTTTTCTTTTTTCTTTTTCACATAGCTAAAATATTTACAGAGTACATCTGCCACCCACTAAACAATTCATAGTATGTACATTAAACGTAGAACTTGCTTTCGTAACCCATAGAAATTCTGCCCCTAATAGTAACCTTACCAATAGAAACGGCTGGAAAGATCTTCATGGAAGACAGGACTGTTTTTATCGGATCTCATCATAAACAGTTGAACCGTGCCCTCAAGCTGTGATCATGTCATGAAAAGGAATAAACAACAAATCTCAAGCTGGAAAAAACACTTATACGCACTCACAGCCGACCAACATGAAGACATGCAGGCAGTGAAATGCTTCATCTACTGATCCATTGTCTGCTGTGAGCATATTGGCCTTTGGGGCCAAAGTTTCTCCTCTGCTGAAGCATAATGTGAAAAACAGCAGCTCCCTCTTGGATTACAACATCTCTGTCAAGACAAAGACATCGCTTCACTTTTATTAGCGGGATTTGTGTCATTGTTAGAATGCGCAGTGACGACAGGGTGTAAAATTCAATGGAATGTCTTTGTACATTTTTTCTTCCATTTTGAATAAACCATGCCATCATGATATAACAGGCAGGCTCTTGATCATCATCAATCAGCCCTTTTATAGCCGTGCTCTCTCACACTTGGTTCATATTTAGAGGATTTTCATGTCACAGTCTTGCAAATGTAAAAGAGACAAACTGAACAGTTCAAGACTTTTGCTGTTGCTTCTGTACCGTGCGAGTATAAAGGTGCCATGAACGATGGTATGATTTAAGAAACGGGTTGGGGGGGCTTGTCTTACTGACGGCACAATCCAGAAGCTGAAGCCAGACGTTATCTTCAAATTCCAACAACACAAAAGTATTTTTATTGGAAAATGGTTTCTAACTTTTGGACAGGTTTCCTCACAAACAGTCTGGCTTTGTGGGAGTTTGCTTGTCACTCTGTCTTGGTGGTGGCGGCTGGCTGGCAGCCAGGTGCTGATTCAGAGTGAATGCTTCCTTTTGACAACCTTTCATTATTTGGCAGAGAATACATTGGTTCTCTTTTTCTGTTTTTTTTTCTTTAAATGTTCCTTCACAGCTATCTAAGTTAATTCCTGAAGTGCAATCTCTTCCACTGCAAAGTACCAAACTTTACCTAAGCAAACTGGATACAGCTCATTCAAAGAAAAAAAAAATCCCAAAAGCACGGTGTTCTCTGTTAATATTTTTCATGTGATGGCTGCTTAAAGCCGTCCAAACACATTAACACATGAAGCTAAAAATGTCACTTTGTGTTTGTGAGGAAGTTAAAATAATACTTTTCCTCAAATGGCTGTTACATTTAATCAATGTAATGCCTTTCAAATTTGTGAAATAACATATGCTAATTTAGCGCTGCATAGCTAGACTGAAAGGCAGATATACTTAAGGTTGCCTTACACAATTTATTGGTAAGTTACAGTGTCATCTCTGAAGATTGTGCTCTTATTAATGGCATGCACTAAACAGTTTTCTTGTTACAGTGTAATATCATTGCTAAAACTACTTGGGAGAGGCTGTTACTTATTCATTCAATGACTCAATCCATCTTTTAATGTCACTGCAAAAGTGATATGCATGAGTTGCCAGGTCTGATTGCTTATTTTAAATGTTATGGACAGTCACAAGGGGATCTTCCACTCATGATACTGAGTCACCACTGTAATATCGAATAAGGCTATAAAGTATATATAGCACTTTAAAAAAAGAACATTGTTAATATGCAAAATTAAAATATTTTAAATGATTCAATGGAACATTCAGTGTTTTTAACCAACTTTAAGCAAAGTTTAAAGAATTGCAATTGTTGGTATTGCTGTAAAATGTGTGTCTAGAACTTAGTTTGTAATTAAGAATGATTTAATTTCACTCGAACCTTTTTGGGGTAAAAGCAGAGTTCTGCCAGTCATCTGTGTTCAAAGGTGGAGGAAACTGGAGTTCCTCCTCGTCATAGGGAGGCTTGTGGATTCTGCAGTTGCCCGCCCCAAGCCCCTCCCAAGCCCCCCCCCACCCCTGTCCCCCACAGACAGCTGATGTTTATCTGCTCTTCCCATCTGGGCCCTGTGACTGAACATCTGGTAAAGCTGCCACTCGGTATGCAGTTTTTCGTAGTGTGATGGCAGGAAAGGAGCACTGCTGTCCACCCCTTCAAAACCAATCTACAGATGCCCGGACGACTTTATCTTCAGATGGCAAAGCTCTCCCTCAAAACCCGACCCATGACCAGACGAAAAAATAAATGCTGTTAAATTTAAAAGGTGTGTCTCTGCTATGTGAAAAACAAAACAAAGGAATTAAAATTACTTTAGCCCAACTCACATTGATCAAAAAGTCCACTAACAGCAGCTGATATCTGGAGTGCATATAAAGAGAGCCCGGTTGCTATTAAGTGTTGCTTTGAATGATAGAAAAGGAGTCTAAGGACACATAATTCTTAAATGCACACTCATAACTATAACTATGGGCCAGCTTACATTTTTCCTTACGGAAAAATTACACATTGTAAGACAAAAAGACTTTTTTTTTTTACATGAACTTATTGTAGGAAAATGAAAAACTTGGTCTCAGTACTGCTGTGTGACTGACAAATGTGACTCACCCAAAAATAAACTATCTTAATTACATAAGCCTTGTGTTTATCACAACACCATGCAAAATCCATGTTAATGCCATCCTTTCATGATCTAGTTGAATTTGACCAATTCCAAATAATATAAAGCCTTCAGAACATGGATGGTTTTACATTGATATTCACAAATCTACCTTTGCAACATATGCAGACAAAAACTGACCTCCTTTCACGTCCCCTGCTGTCTATATTTGGCAGAATGTGACAGGAAGTGTGAACTAGTTCAGCCAAACATTTAGATTTTTTTAATCTTTATCATTATTTTGATTTTATTTTTTATTATCTTGATAAGAACACTGCACCAGAACCATATTTCACAGCTTGCTCAACATTCTGGAGAAATATCTGGCTTTGTAAGATCAATTCCTTTTTTCCTATTTTCTTTCAAAAATGATATTTTCACAAAGCAGAAAGTACCTTTGTTTAAGAAGGGAAGAAAAGAATATATACCCCGATCTTCATTAACCCAGTTTTCCTATGCTGTCAGTCAACCTTTCAAACTGACTTTCCATTGTCAACCGTTACAACATCCAAGCTAACGTGACTATGCTGTCCTTGTCCTACTCCTCGGTTTTCCCATGAAATGAAATGTTCTGCAGTAACTGCAAGGCTTTCATCCATTATAGATGCAACGTTTTAGGAGGATGATCTACACAGAGTGGTATAAATATCTCCTTTTGGTTCTCAGCACGATGAGAGAGGCAGCTCACGACAGGCCATTGTGTTGGGTTAGAGCTGGTGCCTTTATCATTTGACTCAGTGTCTAAAGTTAACAGTGACGCTGTCTATAATACGAGATTAATGGAAAATCTCATGACACCTTCTGTTCAGTGAAACCGTTTTACAAAAATATACTTGAGATTAAAGGAAAATGTTGTGATAAAAGAGTCATTACTGACAGCCTCTACACATCCATCCCCATTAAAGTGACTGCAAAATGCCATAGCTCCAAAGTGATAGGTTTGACAGCTGCTGCAATGTAATGCAACTTAGTGAAGATTTGCCCCTTTGTGCCCTCCTATACCGGCTGCACCACAGCAGGAGGCTGTGTGCTAGCATACAAAGATGGCATCAAGTGAAGTCTGGAAGATGTGTGAGTGCGTGTATGTGTGTGTCATGGTCTGTTGAAAGAGAGAGAGACGGACACAGATCTCTTGCTCTCTGTACGGATCTATAGCTCGGTTAGTCTGGCACTGTGGAGGAAAGCAGATGCAGAAACACACACATATAGACGTGACAGTGAACTCAGCATCCGTAACCACTGTTGATACAGCGGTGATACAGGCTGTGAGAGACCGTGGCTAACGAGAGGAATCATTCATAATTTGAGGAATCTTGTTTCTTTGATAATCAGAATCCGGTGCGCTTAATTTAGAACTGTATCCCATAATCTTTTGGTAAGACTCTGGAGAAGATCTACATGAAGAGAAAAGCGTGCAGTTATGAGGCTTTTGGAACTGTGCCAAGCAGCAGCAAATCACTTATGCTCAAGGCACACAGAAATAATTCATTGCAGCGCTCTGAAGGCAGTTGAGGCAAAGCAGCAACACAGAGCAGATTTCCTGTGCAGAGTGCTGGCTCCAGGTCTACTTACATTTAAAGGAACTAAACTGTCTGAGGCCAATGTGCTGAGTATCACATCAACTGAAACATAGAACATGACAAAGTGGCTTGTCTTACAGCCACTTTGTAAGTAAACACATCTTTACTGATATCAGATTAATGAAATTCCATTTAATTGTTGTCTTTCAGCAGTCTCCATGATGCCCTATGTCTGAATCACTGTCTGAGCATATCTCTTTTCTCCCTTTACAGGAATCCATTGTGGACATCAATGTGACGTTCTGCCTGGTTGACGGACTAAGAAGAAAGCTAAATGTACTGATGCGCTTCTGGAAATCCAGAGAAAAGAGCCACGTTTCCTGTCTTTGTTCCTGCCCTATGAGAGGGCTCTCTGTGGACTGCACACCCAGCACCGTTTAGTTTCTGCATTTCTGCATCACGCTCAGGTGCTCGGAAGGAGTAAAACACAAGAAGAGAGAAGAAAGACGGACATAAACATAGTTTGGCAGCATAATTAGTGCTTCTGATTTAGTGCGAGAGGTAGTAACCATGAGAAGAGACTTCTGAACACAACATTGCTCTGAAAAGTGTTGCGACTGACCTAGGGAAATTTGCATGTTGGTGTGGGTATATGTGTGCACACTGCTTTCATTTTCAAAGAACTTGAATTTGTATTTGGATGCAGATTTAGCCTTTCACTATGACTCTGCGAGGAGGCTGTGAGAAGGCGTGGAACGGGTGCCACAGAGATGTTTGCCGCTGTGTGTTGCTGCTGGCTTGTTACTTCTTGATCACATTGGCAGCCAAACCCAAAATGCCCGGCCACACACACCTGAACTCGATACGCATTGATGGAGATATATCTCTGGGCGGGCTGTTCCCGGTGCACGCACGGGGGAATGATGGAAAAGCATGTGGGGAGTTGAAAAAGGAGAAAGGGATTCACAGGCTGGAGGCTATGTTATTTGCCCTGGATCGCATCAATAATGACAACGACCTGCTGCCTAACATCACTCTGGGGGCCCGCATCCTGGACACCTGCTCCCGGGACACGCACGCTCTGGAACAGTCGCTCACGTTTGTTCAAGCGCTGATTGAGAAAGACTCAACCGATGTCAAGTGTCTCAGCGGAGGGCCACCCATCATCACTAAGCCGGAGAGGGTGGTTGGAGTGATTGGTGCCTCTGCCAGCTCCGTGTCAATCATGGTGGCCAACATTCTGCGCCTCTTCAAGGTTGGTCCCATTTCCTCTGTTATACATTTCTAACAAGGGATGGAGCGAGGGGAATTCTCTGCGTCTACAGACTGTATGTCACTTTTAAAGTTAATTTCATTCTCACTTTACACTGATTGAAATAACTGAAGTAAAGCCCAACCTTCCACCGTCTTAGAATGAGTACAGATTATTTTATGTGATTGCAGCAGAAATATTCTAACCTTTCATTTAAATAGATTATTTGCAGAAAGCACAAACAGTCTTTCAAACCATTAAAAACTCGATTAGTTTTAAGTGTTTGTCCCCAACAACAATGAAATGTACTTTGTCAGACATTCAGGTAACATCAGACAAACAAAGAGAGCTTTGGTTGATGTTTTCCTATGAGCTAATAGGGGGGAAAAAGTCTGAATATTGAGCCAATGTTAGTCCAACATATCTGTGCATCCCTGCTCTTTGTTTCTCCCCATACTATCAGCATTACCACCCTGTAACCTTTCAGGTACTTTTGGACATTATTGTACCCTTCATATGCCTTAGTTTCTGATATTTTTCACTCACTGTCCAGAAAACTAGACACTGATCATTACACTATAATTTACTTCACTAATGGCGTTAATTTGCCAAAAGCTCTCGGTCGTGCCCTCCTCTAATTTATTCAAGAAAGTCAAGCATGGCACCACATGCTCATTGGATAAATCAGTGCATATAGATTACAAAACCACCTTGTGCACAGTGTTTTGTCAACAGATATAAATGTAATCAAAATATGAAGGGGCTGCCAAACCAAACTAAAATAAAAAATATCGAGCATAGCTGCTCTGTCAAAATAGGCTGTTTTAACAAGTAACTCTGGCTGAGTTTGTGTGGGTGAAGAAATCTTATCAGCTCATGAGTTCAATGACTATAATGATTACTGCTTAAATGTGTGTTAATCTATTTAATTCAGAAGACAATCTTTTAAACAGATTCAATTTGTTTATCGTCCAAGTAAAAAGCTGCAGAATTAGATTACAGCTATAAACCCTAAAGTCGCATGGGACTAACTGCAAATCCATTCTCATCCATCCCTCTTGAGTGCATTGTAGAAAATATCAACAGCCGTGCTTACTTTAACTTTTTTTTCTAGCTGTGAAAAAACATGAGCAGGAAAAGCAAGGAGGCATTTAAATTGTGTATTACCCTACCTCCACTACCTTCAACACTTAAAAGGATAGTAAAGAGGTGAATGAACAAAGTCTTGCCGGTCTGCTGCCAGTCCATGGCCTGCTTACCACTGAGCAGAAAGCAGGAACGTGAACAACATCCAATGAAAAGAAGCCTGAATGACCTGTCACATGTCAGGTGGAATAAACGCCACACTCAAATAGCATTGCTGCTTCTTCAGAAAACACTGGATAATGGTATTTTTCTGGTGACATGCTCAGACCTGTCCCACAACCTTCGCCATTATTGGAATGCACAGTGTAATCATCCTCCCAAAAGCCTGTGACCCAGAAGCTGGTGACATGTATCAGAGCAGAAGTGTCTCATTGTACGGCATTGCAGAGGAAATCTGACCGCAAATATCCTGTAAATTGGATTTTACAGCCTGTGATATGCGTCACATTCTTTCAAATATGTACTGACATGTCGAGTGAAACGTTCAGTCATAATCAGCCTTCCTGCACAGGCAAAGGCAAGACACCTGTGAGCTCCTATTAACACACAGAAACAACCCTGGAAAGAAAAAGCATCCTTCTTTACTTTAACTTCGGGGAGAGGGCAAAGGTCACGGCCAAAAGAGCTAAGGTATGGTTTTCCATCAACTCTTAAGCCATGTGACCAGGGAGCCACAAAATCCTGTGGTACACCTGATGCTTCCAAACAACTGTTCAGTATCAAATTATCAGCAAAATAAGGCTGCTAGTGCTGGCAGGAGTCATTACAGAGGGCCCATGAACAGCCAGAAGGGGTCGGTCCACTCACTGGCTTGAGAAACATCTTCACACTCAGATAATTGGCAAGGCTCTGCTAGGGCAGGATTTTGCTCCAAACTGCATGCCAAATCCTGCAGTCGGAACAAACTATTTAGCTTTTTATTTTTTTTCGCAGCCATAAAGGGCATGGATCGGCACTTTCCGAGTCTTTGGGTTTTCCAGCAACGGATGAGTTTAGCGTGCTACTCATATTCTGATGGGCTATGAGCCAAAAAGGTGAAAAACGGATGCCCCGATTCTTTTTCGATTGACAGGTGTGCTTTAACCGTATCCCTGACAGAACCCTTGGAACAACTTGGAAAATGACCAAAGATGAGAATGCTAGATGATTGTACCACAGGACACAGCTGCTGCCCAGACCTTGATATGTGGGGCGGACAAGGGAGTCTTTAAGGTTAAAAATCCAACACTGAACCATCTACTACACCATCTGGTGTGTAGGTTCTTCTGTAAACACTTTGGATTGGTCACACAAGTATAGTCGGTCCCTGGGTGGTGCAGCTGACTGAACATGCCCAGCATATCACAACACACAAGCAGCTCCTTTCCAAATGTTCACACCAGTGTTGGGATTAGATAGAACACTTTAAGTTAAGAGAGTTTCTGTAAATAATTACAGCTGATGGTGGCCGCTGTATGGATAGAAAGACAAAGAACACGGCAGTGTTATATCTCAACACGACCAGTTCATATAATTTCAAATCGAACAGCGAGAAGTGTCAGCAGTCCTGACAGACTTTGGATGTTGCAGTGAAACAGCAACATGCAGCACACTCAGGATGGTGCACAGGCTGTGATGGTGAAGAAAAACAAAAAAAAAACTCGGCAAAAAATTTTGCTGAGATGCATTGAAGTGTCAAAGCTCAGGTTGTTTGCTACAGCCTGTGAAAAAATTCAGTGTAATTCCTAAGTAATTATCAGGAGTGTCAAAAGCAGAGTATTTTTTTATATTTTCCCTTGTGTTTGTTTCCTCGGTTTCACAGTTTCTTGCCGTATTATTTTGAATCAAAACACTTTGGGAGTTTTGTCTGTAAGTTACTGTACACCAGCAAGAAGAAACACGATGGGCATGCTGAATAGCGCTTCTTCAGGTTAATCAATAAATAAAAAGCTCTGACCAGTCAGGACATATAAAAAGGCTATTTGAGGGTGTCCTAGGGAGTCTAAAAATATATTTTTCAGTTGATACACACCATCACTTTATAAAGTTGTTACCAGAGGGAAACATCTAGGCAACATCAATGTAGTGCTACTGATTATTTTCAACAACATGAATAAAGGTACATAATAACCCACCCAAAAGAGGAATACGCTTAATCCCAAATAGCCAAACAAAAAAGCAGGGCTAAAAAAAACAGCACACAAGATGAGAGCTGCAAGACCTTCGTTTCTAAAAGTAAATTACAGGTTACAACAGCACAAATTCACCAAGATGGATTTCTATTATTGCTGATATTTTTCTATAAAGATTGTAAAGTTGTTTTTCAGGGCACAATCTGATCAATACAATGATCATTCAGCCAAAATATGAATAATGATTCAAATATAGGATTCTGATATTCTGTAAGTCTTCGACTGGGGTTCTCTGACATCCCACCGAAGCAAATATGGGGGATCTTAATTGTACATATAAACTGTATATTTGCATTACATGTGTAACATTTCAAACAAATATTGTGGAGAACTGGGAGGTCTTAAAATCCTTTAATCAACTTATCTTTTCTTTTACACTTGACAGAAGGAGCTTTTTTTTTTTCTATTTTATCTGATGCACATTGAGACGGAAACAAGGAGTCATGGAAATGTGATTTGTATGGGTTCCAGAAGTCTCCTCAGGTGTGACAGGCAACACTCCGCTAGGTCAAAAGATGATATTGCTTATTCATAAAGTACATCTGAGCTCATTTCATGGAACTGTAGCACATCCGTAGCTAGATAGTTTTCATTATTCCAGTCTTTCCTTTGTTAAAAAAAAAAAAATCTCATCAAACAGCCTCTATTTTACCACCTTGATATATTGTGGTTCCTATTGCGGTGGATTCGGTTCCAAAACCCCACACGGGGTTAAAATCAGCAATGTAATGACTTTTTATTCTTATTTATTTTATTGTTCATTGGGCTTTAAAACGCTCCTCACAATCCTATAAACATTTCCCACACAGTTATTAACCTTTACCACACCCTTACAAACACTTCCTATCGTCGTGAGCATGTAATTCCTCCCATCCATCAGCCAGTGGTGTGGCCAGTACGATGCCATGTGGGAAAACTAGCTAAAGCAGGAGGGACGGTAGCTGTTCTTTCCACTTGTGTGGGTCTTTATTCATCTGCTGAATGTTACCTGTTGTATTTAAATGCAATATTATTTTAATATGCTTTAATCATTATTTTTATGTTGCTTTCAAATGGTTAAAAAAATACTTATTTGACCTTAAAAATAATTTAAATAATGAAAACATAAAAATACCTCTAATATACATTATTAGATTTGCACAATTTAAAAATCGGTGATATGGTGTGGGATTACGGTGCACTGAAGTGAACTTAAACATATCAATTATAATAGTGTTTTGTACATTTGTCTGATATTTCAATCAAGGCAATACATTACTTCGCCAAAAATGACAACGAATATTTAGCAGTTTGTTAAATTGAAAATTAGTGAGATGCCATCAATTTCAATAATCAAGTAAATTGATATTTTCATTTTCACTGATGGTATAAGAGAAACTGTGGGTGTCTTCAAAACATGAGGACACCAACCAGAGCTTGTCCGAAAGCACTCGATGGAGTTTCTTTGTTGACATTTACTTAATGATTTCTATTCACACTCTTAGAAACACGTTACCTAATCAAAATACACTTTCAATTAAATTTGTGAGCCAATGACCCCCCCCCCCCCCATATTCACAATTGTTTTCAGCTTGTTACTCGCCGCCTTTACTTCACCTTATCACTCTCACCGTGTGACTGAAGAAGTGTTTGCTCAGCACCTCAGAGTAGCCAGGATTCCTTCCCCACGGTGCACTATGAATATTTTACAACACGGTTACGTAACACACGCCGAGGGAT